GGTTTCGGTTGCTCCTCCGGGATCGTTATCTGGGAATGGGCCGGGCTTATCAGTGGGTAGTGAGCAGTTGCACTGGGTTATCACTCATTTGCGTATCTTATTACTGTTACCATTATCACTACTATTTTAATATTAGTTGTTTAGGGTTTTTTTTAAAGTTTTCTTTTATTTCTATTATTAAACTGTTTTTATCTCAATCTACAAGCCTCCTACAAATCTTTGCCCCCAATCCTCTCCCCTATCCCCTGGGGGTGGGGGAAGTGGGTGAACAGCTGTGTTGGCTGCTAGCCAAGGGCTAGCCCAGTGAAACTATCACACTTGACTACATCAGCAGTCTGTTTCCTGTACCACCTACACATTCATTACATGCAGGAGTAAATTAGTCTCAAAAGAAGTCAAGTGCTACTAAAGCAATTGCACAGAAAAAAGTCTAATTAAGACCTTCCATATCTTTGTGAACAGTTTACTCACATAACTAATTCACACTTGCACTTTACCTGATTTCCTCAGCAGAGAAGTTAACAATGGTTGGAATGAAGTTCTCTCTCATGATGATGGAACGTATTTGCTTCCAATCAGTTGTACTTTCACCCAGCAGTAAACAGATGGACTCTAGTGCTAGCTTCACAGCCGCAGGTGGATTAGCCATAGAACGGACCTCTACCAGATGCTGTTTCTTTATTGACTTCACAGCTAACCAGTGCCAGAAAGATGATGAATGTTGATTGGGAAGAAAAACAACAGTTAGCAAAGTCCATTAAAGTGCCCTGGATTAGTAAAAATACTTCAAGAGTCTCAAAAGGAATTTAAGATTATTAGAAAAGTAGATACTAGTGGATAACATTCAAAATACTGTATCAAAAGATAAACTTTTGTGAATGTCAACTTGCCAACTGGCATAAACAACTTATTCTGCTGCCTAAAAACAATTAACTTAAAGCTTTATTACAAGCAGTAACTCCTCTATCCAGTTTAATAAATGGACAGCTTGATTGTATGCTGTCTGTACAATAAAAAGGCATCAGTGGTCTTTCTGACTATGAGATTTATTTATGAATATATAGACTGAGTAAATAATTAGAGCTGGTCTGCCAGAAATGAAGCCACAAGCCATAAAAGGAGTATCAAGTACCAGATCAGTACTACAAATGGCACAAAATCAGATCTCAAAGATTAGGAGTTTCTTCAGCACTGTTCAGCCCCATGTTAAGAGCCTACACTTTTGTTAGGGAGGACCAACTCAGACTGCACCAAAATGCATTCCCACAGACTTCAGTTTTAGATCCAATCCCGCAGTGTGGTCCCTTCAGGTGCTAACATACCATTTTGAGCTTCAATGACAGCAGGCTCCACCTTGTCAAGATCTTCTTTCACACTCATCTGCTTGTCTGCAATGACCTCCTGCTGCTTGTGCAGCTGTTCCTGAATCTCCTGGCTCATGACCTAGGAGGAAGTTTCACAGACAAAATACAGCTTTTCAGAAGTTGAACTTCTTCCAGTACCTGCTCTGCAGCTATATTTTGTAAATAAAAATATTTACTGTGCACAGAGATTAACAAAGATTTTTACCTTTTTCTTCTCAGCTTCCTGCTGAAAATTCAACTTGTCGTTGGCTGCTGCATTCTTCACTTCCAGTTCCTGACTCTTTATTCTTAGGTCACGCCGCAGTTCTTCCACCTGAGACAGATTGTAAGACAGGAGCACTCAGATTAAGCATGGGGATCTACTTCAACAGTCCAGCCTTATAAACGGCAAAGTTTTAAAGATATGTACCTGATCGACTGTTTCCTTGATTTTTCTAAGGCCAACATTCAAATGCATTTGCTGTTCCTCCAATTCACTTCGTTTCTCATTGAACAAGTTTGCATAATGGTTGATGAAGTCTAAGTAGTGGCGTGGTGTGATTGCCATGGTTCTGCCTCCTCGTTTTGCCAGACGAGCATTAGCCTTCAGGAAAGAAGAAATTGTAGATTATGCATTGGTTTTAAACCTATTCAAATGCCAAAGATCATACTTTTTAGGAAACTGGTGTATAATGCTGTGGCCTAGAGATCAACACAAGTTAAGCAATGTAATAAAAACATACCTGATGAAGCGTCTGATGAACAAACACACAACTGTTAACAATAGCTTCCCTGTGCGATGGTGGTTGTGGTAGCTTATCATACACAACGGGCATGTAATCGGGCACAATATAATTTGGTTTCTCAAGATCCATTTTGCTTGTGAACTCTTTGCCAACTTGGTACAGTGCCTCAGTTGACCAGTCTCCAAACCAGTTCAAGACACACCTGAAATACAAAGTATTTGTGAAGACTTCCCAAAAAGTACTGTTTAAACAGTATTTGTAATGCACGTTGAAATATACAGCAAGTACCTGTTGAAGAGTGCAGGAGAGGTAGCTGCCCTGTCCTTCAGGCCCTCAGAAGACGGATTCATAGTGAACACAACATGGAGATTGCGAATAACTTGGCTAGTGAACCATTTGTAGAGTTCTTCATGTGAATCTAACATTAAACCTTCTTTTTGTGCTCCTTCTTTACACTGAGTCATGAGGGTGGCATATTCATCTCCTTCAAAGAGACCAGGAACCTAATTCAAAAGATAGTTTTGTTGCAGCTTATAGTTGTAAAAAGGTGTTTAAACTATTTACTGAAAACCTTCTTACCTCTCCATTGGCTAGGAGAGTGTTCATTCTCTCCAGGAATCCAGAATCCAATACATTTGACTCATCCATTATAAAAGCTATTTTTTCATTTTTACAGCCGGAACGTCTCAGTACTGTCCTAAGATCTTCATCAAAATCTTCGCCAGTATATTTTCTGTGAACCTAGTAAGATTTAACATTGGTTATTAACATTTTGTTTTAGCTTTTAAGGGGATTTTTTTTTAGTGGCCTATATTTAAGAAGTCCAAGTTTTGACTAACAGTTTTTATTAAGCAAAACTAGCATGCCAACCTTAATTTGGTAGACGCTCAAACCGTTCATCCAGGCAACAAATCTTGAGAGAGTTGTTTTCCCTGCTCCACTGACTCCAATAAGCAGCAAGTGGCCCTGTGGCTGGCGGAAGATTCTGTAAAAGCACATAAGCAAGTATGTTTTGATCAAATGTTATCAACTTACTAAGCTTTTCCTTGAGTGTCTAAACTTCAAGTTAGAACCAAAACTGACACATCTTTCCAGCTAGGATCCTGCTATCTGTAGGTCAGGAGTAGGTAATCTATAGACAACAATGGGATCATACTCCATTCTTAATTAAGTCCGTACTCAGGCTTCTCTATTTTAGAACAAGTCTCTAAATACTATTTATATGAGCAGCAACTGAAGTCTCCACTTACCGGTCAATTCTTAACACATGATCCAAGACTTCATTGAACAGAACAAGTGGCACATCAAGTTCTTCCTCATAAAAGACTTTAAGCCTAGCTTTCACATAGTCTCTTAATTCTTCTTGATCCACTGGAATATAATCCTAAAAGAATCAGTCAATACAGTAGGGAATTTAAGATTAAGAGAATTTTGCTTAGGGATCAGTTTATGAGTAGATGAAAGCAAAACTATTTGACTTACTCCACCCTCACTCCCTAAATTTATTTTAAATAGCCTTTCCTAGGCATTTGCTATTGGCCATAGAGATGGGTAGCAGGCTAGATGGACTTTTGCCTTGACCTAGTAGGATTTCTACAGATTTCCCAGCTGGATCACTTCAGTTTGCAAGAAACAGTCCACCATAAAATTTACAGTATCAGTGCTGATCAAAGGTCACTGCCTTATCAGATTCCGTAAGCAATAACTCAGCAGCTTTCTGGGCGCGTTACCCTGTTCTCAAGAAACATTATTCAATACTGCCTTTATCTGCTTTGGTAGATCTTACAATAGTATCCCTGGCATAACAACAATTAATTTTGTGGTAGAGTGCACTTCAGATAATCACAGTAAGAACTTCTTAGAGATCAATTTAACAAAATGATGGGCACCAATTATCATGTTAATACAGTCATAAGAGTCCACCACTCAGTTGCTCCCAAATGATTTATTTTTTTTTTACCTTTGACAGCCAGTTGCTGTATAAGATAGGTCTGCTCATTGCTTTTTCTTTATCAATATTGGGGAAGTGCTTCAGAGCAACCATATCAATGTTCTCATCAGTCCAGCGTCTCTCCTCATCTTCTACAAGTCTGGATAAAGAAAAAAGTCAGTGATTACAAATCCTCTGTAATGGCAGGATATATAGTCACATCCCATGGCAGTGCTACCACTAAAGTATGTTTCTGCTTTGCACAGATACGACTCTCAGTAGTGTTAAGTTAAAAGCAAGGGGAAATATTCTCATTTGTATTCCAGCTATTTTACATGAACCACACTTTAGTTTGGTCTTCTAATTAAAGTTGCCAAGGAGTTGGGAAAATTCATTTTGTGCCTTCCCCCC